AGAATGCATGTGGCACTTTGTGGATTGTCCAGCTGCTTCACATATGCAGAAGAGTCAGCACAAGTTGAGAAGTACAATTCCAAACTGTGATACTAGTTAAGGAAATGGAAGACTTATTAGTGGGAGGTTAGTCTGGAGCATCATTAAAAATGAAGTTTCAGCTCTACACTTTAAGAAGGATTCAGACAACTGGAACAGGTTCAGAGAAGAGCAATGAAGATCATTAAAGACCCAGAAGCTAAGGTTTAAGAAGAAAGATTTATTTATTAGATGTATATCTAACATCATAAAAAAAAAGCAGATGTACAGGTACAATATAGGTGGTACCCGGCTCAGTAGCAGTACTTGTGGGAAGGATTTATTGTCAATCTGTGAACTGTAAGAGAATATCACAAGTAAGGTATATCTCTCCACTTGACACAAGAGTATGGCAAAGTTATAACAGAATTTTGAGTCTCAGCTGGAAAGGGTAAAGTATTTCATTTTCAAAAGCCCACATAATTATTACGCCTGTGAGTGGTGGATGTGATTTATAACAAGGCGTTTGGTGCAATAATGGTGACACACTGCCCTTTGTTGAGCAAAGAGGTGGCACAATTCACTTTAATGAGGTCCTTTCATCACTTCATTTCTATGTACGCCTTTTACACATGCCAAAGCCTTTTCTGACCCTTCCAGTATCAGACTGGTAGCTTTAGAGGAGATATTTATGCACACACAAAGCTTCTTCCATGGGTCTATTTGATCTGGGCTACACATATCTGGCTGACCACTAGATTGCAGCAAGGTATGGAAAGCTGTCAACACTTTGTTGTTGTTTGAGGTTCATCTGAATTTTTGCAGCCCTGACTGGGTTGCCTTATAGCTATTGCAAGGAAGAACATAAGAGCAGCTGTGCTGAATCAGGCCACAGCCCATTTTATTTCAGCATTTTACAGTGACCAGCTAGATGCCTCTAAGGTGTTCAGAAGCAGGAAATGGAGATATACCTTCTTCCACCATCATTGCCCTGCAATTGGTATTTGAATGGATAATGCCTTTCCCTGGAGGTAATACTTAGATTTCACTACAGTACTGCCAGAATCTGTCCTCCAGGAATTTATCCAATCACTTTAAAACCATTCATATTAAAGGCCATAAATTCCACAAATTATTTGCTATGTGTTGCAGGACTACTTTTTGTCTCTTCTAAATCTCCTTCTAGTCAGCATCACTGATGGACCCCAGTTCTGAGAGTGAGAAAAACTCCATCTCCATTTTCTTCATGCCATGCATGTATTTACACTTCTCTTTTTTAATAATAACTCTATTAATTTTTTTCTGAAAAGAACAATAAAAACTAACAAGAACTAGCATTAAGGAAAAAGAAGAAGAAAAAAGAAATTAGAAATAAGAGTAGTAAAGATCAAGAGTGCAGAAAAAAGAAAAGAGACAAAAGAAAAAAAAAAGAATTGACTTCTGACCCTCCTTGCAACAGATATAAGTAACAATATACATCAAACTCTTGCTCTAACTTTACAACGTAACTTCCATTATTTCTATTAACTCATATTATTTCTAATCATCAAATCCATACAACATAATTTCATTTTTTTTCTGTTTCCTGCAAAAAGTCCAAAAAAGGTTTCCAGTTAGCATTAAAATTATATAATGTCTTATCTTGAATCAAAGCTGTCAATTTCACAATTTCAGCCAATTCCATCAGCTTCACCATCCATTCTTCCATTGTAGGTAGTATCTTATCTTTCCACCTCTGTGCATACAAAAGACTTCCTGCTGTTATCATATCATAACCGCCCAGAGTCACTTTTCCGTGAGATGGGCAGTATCTAAATTTGATAAACAAGCAAACAAATAAATATGTAAGAATGAAGTTCCTTAAGTTTTTTCTAACTGTTTATCCATCAAGCCCAAAAGGAAAGTCTCTGGTTTGACTGAATATTAATCTTTAAAATCTTCTATATGAAAATATGTATTTCATTCCAAAAATTTTTTGCTTTTTTACAAGTCCACCAGAGATGATAAAATGTCCCTTCTTGTTGTTCACATTTCCAACATATGTTCGAAGTATCTTTGTACATTTTAGATAATTTTTCTGGTAACAAGTACTAATGATACATCATTTTATAAAAGTTCTCTTTAAGGTTATAACACAATGTGAATTTTAGTCCTTTCTGCCACATATTTTCCCACTGTTCCATCTGTATGTTATAGCTAAAGTTTTTAGGCCATTTTAGCATACAGTCCTTAACTTGTTCATCTTCTGTCTCTAGTTTCAATAAAAGCGTATGCATCTTTTCAATAACATGTCTATCCTTAGTACATAATTCTGCTTCAAATTCAGTCTTAACATATTCAAAACCATAAGTCCTTTTATCTATTTTAAATTTTTCTTGTAACTGTAATAGGAAAACCATTGACACATGTATCCTTCTGATATCAATTCCTCTCTTGTCTTTCATGAGTTTATACTTCTCAACCATCCTCAAGTTGCCCTTTTTTCAAGCTAAGGGCGAAACATTCTCATCTGTTCTTGCTGGATGTTGTTGAGTCCTCTGTTCATTTTAGTCATCTTCTTCCACACTTCTTTTTTCAGCTCAATTATATCCTTTTTCAAATGTGGCAACCAATACAGTACACAGTGGTACCGATGTATCAAGATTTGCATCTTGACATTTTATTTTCAGTCCCTTTCCTGATGATACCCAGCATGGAATTTAAGTTTTTCATCATTTCCAGTCACTGAGTTGATGTCTTCATTAAGCTATCCCTTATGATGCCACAATCTTTTTCCTGGTTTGTGGCAGGATGCTCAGACCATACGAATAAATATGTGAAGTTGCAGGGGGGTAGCACTGCATAATTGTATATTTATTTAAATTAAATTGTATTTGCCATTTCGTTGACTATTCACCTAATTTAAACAGATCCTTCTACAGCTCTTTACAGCCACTTTAGGTTTTTACTGCCCTGAATAGTTTATGGCCAACTCACTACTTGGCCAGCTCACTACTTACCCTTAAATCAAGTCCCAGAAGAGACTGTGGGGGAGGCTTTGGAGAAGCACAAAGTGAAGCAGTGCAGCTGCTTTGCTCTCCAATGAGAGGAAGAGCTAAGCATTCTCTTGAAGACTTGCACAGCCAAGTCTAAAACATGGAATGGGGAAATGGGATTATAGTTATGCACATTTTCTTGAGAGTACTAAATTGATTTAGCATAGGGTTCATCCACAAAAACTCTTTGCCCCAGCTCTAAGGTGGCCCATGTACAGTTTTCTAAGGACATGTCGTCATAATCGAACCTCCATCATGGTGCCAGCCCATTCCTGAGGTAGGCTGAAGCAAAATCATGTGATCTAGCAGGAAAACGTTTTCCATCAGAACATGGAATAAGCCCTTCATTGTAAACATTTTAGGTCAGGTGAACTCATCTTCAGAAGTTTGCTGACCTGTTGCTGGAGTCCAGCTGGTCCACTACAAACCGCTGCAGCCATTTTCTGCTTTAGTACCTGGTGACTATTATACTGTCTAAGATTGGAAAGTAAAGTTTGCTAGTCTGGCATGAACTAGGGATATTTGGTCATGATTTTGGCATTATTAGCTTGTATCTTTGAAGCATATTTGTTGTATATTTATCATACTTCTAGATTTAAATGATGAAAGGATACAGCATATGCTTATGGATGCTAGTTTTGAAAAGTGTAGTAGCAGAGGAATCAAACCATTATAAAAACACACAAAAAGAGCTTCTTGATCCTCTTTTATTGGGGAAAAGAAGAGACTATGGAGCAACTGAATAGTTCAGAATTTGGAAAGGAACTTACTCAGGTCTCATACTGTCCCTTTATTTATTCAACTTACATGCAGAATATCAAGAGAAATGCTGGACTATAGCTAACAAAACTTGGAATTAAAATTGCTGGGAGAAACACCAACTGCTTCTGTTATGCTGATGATTCCATTTGTCAGCTAGAAGTGAGAAACATAAGGAATCTCTTGCTGAAGCTGAAATTAAAGACTGCAAAAACTTGTCTGCTGCTCAGTATTAAAGATCCCCCCCCCCAAAGATTAAGCTAACAGGTAATGCCAGCCCAATAAGCAGAGAAGTTGAAGTACTAACAGATGTTATCTTCCTAAGCTCAAAAGTCTTGAAACAGTGACACTGGTTACTTGGGAGATAGACTATGACAGATCTAGAGAAAATATCAGAGACATGACACTGGCAATGACCATATGTACTGTTAGGGCCATGCTTTTTCCATTTGTAACATGGTTATGAAAGCCCCAGTAAAGGAGCATATCTTTGAACTGAGGTGTTGGATAAAATGGCTGAGAATATTTATTTATTTGAATTTATCAGCTGCCCAACTCCACTGAACTCTTCACCCATCAGAAGAAATCAGTCAGTACTAGGTGAAGTGAACCCAGCTGCTCAGTGAAAGAACTAATAATGAAGCTAAAGCTGAAATCTTTGGACAGAGACTGTGAAGGCAAGAGTCATCGGAGGAGCCTCTGGTGCCAATGCTTAGGCTACTCAAAGTGGCTGAAAAAGAGCTCAGCAGAAGACAAGGTGGTTAGATACTATGTCTGATGACACAACCATGAGTTTACAAGAACTCAAAGAGTCGCTGACAGGCAGTCCCGGTGGAATGATGTCCATCCAGGTACGAACACTCAAGAAGCGACCGAGGAACAAAACACCTCCAGCTGAACGGCTTCCCAAGTGGACGTGCCTGGGATCAGGCCACATAACTCTACAGCGTTTCTTCCGGGGAAAGAAACACAGTCACAAATCCCCACCACGTTGGCGTTGGGAGCTTTCCCGCTGGAACCTCTTCCACGCTCAGCTCGCCTCCTCCCACTGAGTTTCGCAATTGGTCCTCGGGAGAAACTGGAGCCGCCTTGCAAACGTGGCGGTCGGGCGGCTCCACCTACAGCGAGACATCTCCTCCAGTCCAATCGCATAAGGCGTAGTATTGAACCGCGCAGAACTTCACCCGTTTGCAACCGCGTTGCTGAGTGGCTAGAAGGGGGATTCCGATCACCCGTCCAAATTAGGCCATTCATAGGCGTCTGTAAAGAGAGACTTTTGCAACCGGACCGGTGTTGTATAATGGGGGGCTGGAGAAACGGGGCGACCCCACGTTGAGTCTTTTATGAGCGTGTGGCGAGAGAGCGGCGAGGTCTGCTGGACTGGGAGGCAGCCCAAGCAAAGACACATGTTAGATTCTACAAAGTAAAGGTCGTCCTATCCCGACGTGTATTGCAGAGTAGAAAGTTTCTTCGGAGGCAAACCGCACTTGGCGCGGAAGAAACCATGAACCTGGGGAAAACTCGCTCTCTCACGGTAGGGCTGGTGCTAGTATGTTGCATCAGCAAGTCCTTCGGCGTCCCCACTTTCAGAAAGGAAAGAGGCGTTCATCCCGACACCGAACTCAGCGACCGGCAGCACGAAGATAACCAGAGCTTCCAGTATGACCACGAGGCCTTTCTGGGCAAGGAAGATGCCAAGACTTTCGATCAGCTCAGCCCGGAGGAAAGCAAGGAACGGTTGGGGTAAGACCGTCCTTATTTTACCGAAGCTGGCAGGCAAAAAGGTCCCTCGTGCCCCGGGGCACGACGGTGATGACGATGATGATGATGATGATGGAAAGGGTGATTTAGATGATTCCCTCTCCCAGTAGATACAGTGAAACAGTTGCATGTTGCACGCCGACGGAGTTTGGCCACTTTCCTGTCAAGTTACGTCGTGCTGTAATAGTATTTCCCCTTCCCCGATAAACGCGCGGTTAGCGAAAGTTAGCTCCGCCAGGCGAAGAAAAAGAAATTCTTGCGATGGTGCCTTGGTAACGTGGCGGAGGGGAAGTTCCTATCGACGCCGCGAATGGGAAACTTAGTGTCATTCTTGGGTCATACAGTACAGTATATTCGCGTTTTATGTAGGAGATTAAAGTCCAGGATCAGCTCATTTAAATGAAAAGTCATGAGGAGTTTTGCTTGTTGTGGGAAAGGTTTCCTTTCTTTTTTAAACTTCTAGAGGGGCAACTTCCTTCATTTCTTGCAGCAGAAACAACAGAGCCTTTCATGGATGAGAGATGCACCCAGTGCATGACAAGACATGCCATCTTGGCAGATACGTAATTGTGGGGAGGGGGGTTAAGTTTACAAAGTGGGACTACAGACGTTGTAGTGCAAAACCTACTGTTTTCTGGGGGGGATGGGTTGGGTGAAAAGAGTACAAAAATCAAATCTGATCAGGTGTGTCTCACTTCCAGCTCAAGTTGTGGCAGACTGGATGTGAATGGGCAAGTCTGACTCTTAAAAAAAACTTAGTAATTGGTAGAAACCGGCAGAAAACATTTCAGTGGCTTTGGACTTTAAGGAACAAGTTGAAAGATCAAAAGTTTTAAAGGGAGACTCTGGTGAACTGAAAATTAATAGAAACAGTGGACACCATAACAGTGTGTGAACAGTTTGCTCACTAAAGGATATCACAGGTGGGAGGAAGTCAGACCCAAGTTCACCTGTATCCCATTTATCTATTACTCTTTTCTCCAAGAAACTCATGTTTATCCTTCCCAATTTATCTTCACGACAAATCTGCTGAATTCTTGACTAGAGAAACAGAGAGGTCAATGCAAGATTACCCTGTGATTTGCCACGGCTAAACATGAACCGGAATATTGTTCTCTGAATTTAAACTCTGCATAAGTGAGGCAAATATATCTCTTGCTTTGCACCTGGCTTCACTTTGGGATAAACTTGACCTTTCTGTCTGTAGTGAGCAGGGAGAACTATATTTTTCTGGGCAAAATGCAGTCTATGGAGGCTTCCCATATAGCCTAAGTTTCCTTGCCCAGCTTTTTATCCCATCTGCCCTCCCCAGACCTGGAATGGGAAAAGCTCTTATTACATCAGCATTTGGGGGAGGGCGCAAATGTCAACACCTGCATGGTGACGTTATGCAAATGCTGTAGCTGGTGTGCTTCCTTAGGTGTCCTAGTGCAAGTATGTCTTTGTGGCATTTGCTTGATGAACATCATTGCACGGGTGTCATTTGGGCATCTTTGCTGTTGGCTGAGGAGACCGCTGTCAGCAGTTGAAGTCAGTGGAAACTTTGCTTTGTGGGAGGGTTCTTCAAGGAGGCATTGTTGCTGAGGCGAGAGAAGGCCTTTCCTTCCCAAGGTTGTAACCCCTCTCTTGCAAAATTGCCACCTTGAAAAGAGCTTTCATTGATATCAATGGAGGGCCCTTTAAAGCCTAATTTCTAAGATGGGGAGAGGAGAAGCAAGTGCGTGTAAATGAATAGAATATATGTGTGTGGGATGGTCCAGGCAGTTGTGTCAGTACCTGCATGTTTTGGTGACACCCACCTAGGATGTGGGCCAGGACAGTGCTGGTAGGGCTACCCCTTTTGATGGAGCCAATTTAGACTTCAACACAAATAGTTGCCCCTGTAGCTGTGCCCAGGCTTTGGTAATTTTGCTGGATCTTTGCCATCAGGTGAGTGAGATAGGCCAGACTTACAGGTGAAGGTGAATCAGCTGATTTCTGTCTTCCCTCTTCAGTCTGAGATTCCTACTATGGTTGGTGAGTGCTCTGAGTTCAGAGCATCCACATGGTATAGAGCAGGCTGATAAGATTTGCATCCCTGCTGGCCTGGACCTGGAGGCAGGTGGCAGAAGAGTTGGTCTTCTGGAGGGCATCTAAGGAGCATTCTAAGCTCTGGATGCCTTTTTTTTTTTTTTGGTGCAGAGCAAAGTATCTTTATTCTGAGGTGGAAGGGCATGGCAGAGGTGTGGAGACGGGATGCTAGCTTGAAGAGTAATCACAGTGCCTGCTGAATACAGCAGCAAAGCAATCTTCTGCTCTGCCTCCAGCACTGATATGTTCAGAGGAGAGGCTTGTTTTCCTTTTCTGCCCTAGACTTAAAGCTGGAATAAAACACTGCTCTTCTTCTATATCTTGCTATAGCTAAGAGACAAACCCTAACAGGCATTCAGTGAGCCTTCATATATTCCATCTTCCCTGTCAGCCAGAGCTCTTCATTATGGGAAGGATTCTACATCCATTCGGCCAATTCTAGAATTCTACTTTAGACTGCTTGTTATTACATACAGGAATATGTGCTGTATATCATGAAGGCTTGGGGAGTAACTTGAGTTACTGGCTCCTTATGACAAATACAGCATGTTAACTAGTGCTTACAAGTTTTGGAGAACATTGCTGTCCCTTGAAAGAGATTTCACAAGCACTGGTCAACATACTGACTGATTGTCTGTCTTCACTGGCTACCCGTAATATTAGTTTTCATAAGCTCCACAGAATGTCTTCATAACATTTTAACATGTTATTCTACTTGCATTTCATTTGCTTGAAACCTGTATCAGTAATTTTTTGCTATTACCAATAACTACTTCTTGTCCAATCTTAGAATCCTAATTAGTGGAAGACTGTATCTAGTTAAGTTGTTTGCTGTGACAAGTGCTGATGTTTCCAGATGAAAAGCCCACGGGCCCATGCTTGCAAGACACGCACAACTAGGTTTTAAGGAGAAGACTAGGCTAGAAAGTTTGCCCCTGACATTTAATGCTGTGTATGGAAAGTCAAACCTCAGTTTAGTGGACCTTGATGCAATGGGCAACATTCTTGTTATATCTGAATAATGGCATAAATCAATGCAAATGATATAAATTGGTGCAAATGAAGAATCTGCATCATTTATATACTGTAATATCATTTTCATACTACAGTTTAACCTATAAAGAGGAGTAATGGACACTCTCTCCAAATGATATGTTAAATCAGGATGTCACTTGTGTATTAAGAAACTTTGGGTCATAGGAGCCTCTGAATGCAGTCTGTAATCCAGATATAAATCTCATTTCCAATGTATATCCTCTTTTCCTCTCCATATCCTTCTGTGTATGGGGAGGGGGTTGGAACCTGTCATAGCATTGTTTAAATGTATTGGTTCTCTGTGAACATTTATTTTGGCATTTTATTTTGTTTAAACAATACTCCACAAAAGTTGGCTAAGTATTATGTGTACGTGTGTGTGAAAAAGAAATGTGATGGGTACTTCTTAAATATGCTAGATGGTCAAATCCCTATAAATTCAGTGATTCCTGTAGGGTTAACACTTGGCCTTTTTCTCTGCTGTCACTCTATTCCTCTTCTCTCCTTTTTTTTCCCCATCACTGCCTGAGGAGTGGCTTAAAGTGCCACGTAGGTTTTCTTGGAGAAGACACAAGGGACTATTTCTAGAGAACAAGGATCTCTTGCATGTATCTCCAGTTCTTCTGCTGCTGCTGTCTGATCAGACAGACAGTTGGAAGGAAAGGCACAATGAAATGGGGAGAAAGATCAAGAAAGGAGAGGGGTGGAGACAGTGACTGTGAAATGTCATTTGCTTATAATGTGACCCTTCCTCAAAAATAGATTGCAGGGTTGGTCGCAATAATGCAGCTTTTACAAAACACAATCATAGGATGTGGAGGTAAAAAAAAAAGGCAGGGAAAAGATTTCTCCAAACAGCTAATAATGTTGATCTCAGATCAGCTGGATAAGACAGTGTGGTAGAGTGGTTAAAGTTTTGGATTCAGACTGGAAGCTTGCTCAGTGATTTTGGACCTCTTCTCTTTTTTCAGCCAACTTAGCTCACAGGTTTGTTGTGGTGGAGAAAAAGTGCAGGAGAGAAGGCTGTGCACGCTGTCTTTGAACTCCTAGAGGAATGGAAGGATATCAGCATATCAAATATTAATAAATTCCCAAAGAGATACATTCTGCAGTTGGATTTCCACAGCTTAAAAATAAAAATCTGGTGGTATACTTGAAGAAGCAGATGATGCTGAAGTGGAGATAGGTTAGCACTGGGGTCTTCCAAAAAATCCCTACTCTGATGGCCCTAGTGGTAATTTCCTAGATACTTGAACTGCTGCATTTTTAGCTGCAATACAGCCTGTTAATAAACTAAGTATCAAACCTATTAGATGGCTGTTTTCTATCTTAGTGGGAAAAAAGAGGAGATGACTACTCTGGTGGCAGGAATCAGGGAAAATCAGGATAAATTGAAGAAGATTTACACATCTTGGGGCTGACTACACTTTGTGAGTGGTGCCATTTTGTTACATAAGCAGAGAATAGCAGGTTGTTTACCTGTAACTATATGGCCATCTGTGGGTTCTGTGTCTGTTCTCGGCCTTGTAGGAAACTTTCTAAAGCCACATTTTTGGTGAAAATCTGTTTCCTTTTCAACCCACATGCCCAAAAGTCCAGGTCCTACTTAATCACTTCAGTTTCTTTTTGGCTATCATGATGGAAGCATGGAAGAGCTTTCTGAGATGAGTTACTGCACTGTTTGCTCTTATTTTATTCCCTGTTTTCCCCTTCTTTTTCCTTTTGTCTTTGTATCTTATGTTCTTTCCTCCAGACATAGGAGTCTGCAGGGGCAAAAAGGGAAACACAAGATCACATGTCAAACACCATATAAATGCTGCGACTTGCATATTCGTGTCAGACTTTGGGATGCACGTACATATTTGCAACATTTGTGTGATGACAGCATAATGCATGCCTTGTCATTTTGACATCAACATGGCTTGTTATGGATGCCTATGTCTCCGAGTGTTGTAATCCCTTTGGTTTTTATCTTCCCACATAAGACTTTCTGTAAATGTGGAACTAAGCTTCTCCTTATGGAGGTATGTTCATTGCACTTCTATGAAGAATAAATTTTGACCTCCTAAATTATGTTTTCTGTGGTTTCTTTCTACCTACTGACTGATATGAGTACACGGTATACTTTTCTGCAAGTGTGGAAAATCTGTTCCATCTAACGTATATTCATAATTGTGGTATCAGTGGTTAGAGAAACCTTCCTAGCATGATGGCAGCAGATGGGAATAGTAATCTAGCATACTTAGAAGATACCAGGTTGGAAAGACCACGATAAAGGGTAGGATAGACTGCTCAAGTGTGTTTTGCTATAATCCAGATACTGATTTGAATGTTTGTATATATTTTGGAGGGTAGAAATCCATGAAGATATTGTTGGTGCTAACAGCAGTGCTGACCAGCAGAGGTCATATGCATTATGTCATCTTTAGAAAGGGACCACAGTAGTTTCCATTCAGAAGATTCATTTTAAGCAAATATAATTGTATAAGGCATGACAAATGTAGAACAATTAACTAGGATTATATGGATAGTAATGTAAACTCTGAAGAATATTTACCAAGACTCTAATAATATGCTTACTTTTTCCCTTATCTCAGCAAAATTGTTGATCGGATCGATGATAATAAAGATGGTTTTGTCACAACGGAAGAACTGAAAAACTGGATTAAAAGAGTACAGAAACGTTACATCTTTGAAAATGTGGCTAAAGTTTGGAAGGATTATGATCTCAATAAAGACAATAAAATTTCATGGGAAGAATACAAACAAGCAACTTATGGCTACTACTTAGGTGAGAAAATTCTAGACATAATTCAGCAGCATTGGTTTACATTTATCAGCCATAATTGTTTAACACTGAAGCTAAATCAGATGCAACTAGAGCCCGAATAAATGGTGGGTGGATGAAAGATTAACCTAATAACTAGCTAATGCTCAGGAAATATACGTGAACAACAGCAAGAGTGAATTAAGCTCTTGGACTTTAGGAAAAGATTGGAGTAAAAAAGTCACACAGGCAAAACGCAGTCATGAGCAATTTTGAATTCTAGTCTTCTTTCTAAGAAGCTTATGGGGTATATTCCTTTTTGGTTCTTTTCCAGAACAGTATGACTGGAAGTAAAGTATTTAGTAAAGTATTTCCTGGTAGAAAACAACAGCTTAGTTCAAACCTAGATCCTACCTACCCCATTTGGTATTTTCTTTTTATGATGAATTTGATGCAAAATACATCTGAGAGTACTTGAACTCCAAAGAACATCTGAGGTTTTGGAGGAAAAGATGTCCAAACCTCTTTGAAGTATTTAATTCTGCTTTAATTCAGAATTTGTCCAAAACAAACGCACATACTTTCTCTACATGAAAGCCAGCCTTGTGTATATTAAACACCAGTTGAAATTAAGCCAAGGGCTACAGCAGGCTGTAGGTTATTCATATCTGTCTTTGATGCATTCAAGATTAAATTGCAAGAAAACAGAAATCTGCTTTTTTGTAAATATAGGCAGGCAAGATGTACAGGTAAGAAAGGAATACAGAGAAAACAAAATGCATTTGTCAATTTAATCTAAATGTAAATGAAGCACTAAATGGAACTTTGGATGCAGTTTTAAGTTCCGGAGGACGTGGGTGCCATTAAAGGAGGGCGGGTGTATCATTCCCATATCCTTTGTTTCTGTCTACAGGTGCTTATTCAAGCATGCCAGTTTTCTGGCCAGCTTGATAGCTCAGTGTACATTGTTATAATGTAGTAAAGACTCCTGTGCATAAGGTGTATATGTCAAGGCCCAAATGCTTTTGGGTGTAAAAGAAAAAGGACTGCTTGGGCTGTTTTCATAATACCATTGTTTTGAGAGATAAAATAGTAATTAAATCCTCTTAAAATACTTTTCTTCTGTTTTGAGTATATGGAAATTAGCAGCTGGAGCAACATATGATAGTATATGAGAGGATGGGAAAGGGAGGCAGGTATGTAGTTCTGTCAAAGCACCTCTCCAGTAAATACAAAATGCTGTGTTAGCATTCAGGTGGTTTTTACTGTGGGCTAAGGGAAGAATTACATTTTTATTTGTTTGAAGATGAACTCAAACATAGATTGTGTGTGTGTGTGTGTGTATGCACAACACTAGGTTCAAGGATCTAGTGGAGGAATTCCCACAGACAGAATATTATACTGGATGGACTTCTTATGTAGGAAGGATTTAGGATAATGTGCAGTATTCTTGCATGTCATTCCTGGGTAACACTCTGGTGTTAGTTATTCCTGCAATTTTAGTTTGGTTCATCTTATTCTAATTATTCTGATTCTCTAGATCATTCCACAGAATTTCAAGATGCCATTGAACAACACAATTTTAAGAAAATGCTGCCTAGAGATGAAAGAAGATTCAAACGAGCTGATCTGGATGGTGATTCAGAAGCAACTCGTGAGGAATTCACTGCTTTCCTTCACCCGGAGGAGTTTGAGCATATGAAAGACATTGTTGTCCTAGTAAGCCATGGCAAAGCCACCTTCATTCTTTTGGGTTTCTCTTTATTAAATCAGTTTGAAAACTGGCTTCCTCATCTTTCAAAACAAGGTTTCCCAGACAGTAGTTGCTGTCCTTTTCAACCAGAAGGAAAGCTGCTTTAGAAATTTGCCTCTGGCTGCTGAAAAGTAACCTCTCTTCCTAACTCTGGTGATCCCTCTTACACGCCGATTAATTACATCTGAAGATTGTTTAGTAGTAAGGTGGCAAATAGAGTTGTATACATGGACCAGTTTTGCCATGAATGTTGTCTTGTTGAAGTATTCAACAAAACCTTGATTTTATCACATACTAAAGCAACAACGCTGAGAGAAAAAATGCTTGCGTTACTGCTTTTAAAGTAGCATCCACTGAAAGTCAGAACGATCTGAACATTGCGTTTTGCCTACACTTATCAATGGCCAACCCCTTCTGCCTTCTTTCTTTGATATATTACAGGCCTGTTGTTGCTTCAATACTAAGAAGCTGGGCTACCGTCATGATCCTTAAAATTAGCTGCAGAGAACAAGGTGTGGCTGCTTGATATTGGCACAAATGTACTTTACAAGAAACATAGGAAGCTGCCTTATCATGGCTTGATTCACATATGTTAAGTCATCATTTGTAATTTATTCAATAAATCATGGTTAAACAGTTGGCTGGTTTACACTCTATATTAAATCAGAATCAAGTAAACCACACCAATGTGTGATGTCAAACCAGGCACAGTCTAACCATTAACCTAACTCAGAGCTGTCGAGACCAGCTTTCTCCAGCCTGATGCCCCCTCTCCCTCCCCCGCCCCAAGAGTTGGCTATAGCTTCCAAAAGTTTCTAGTTTCCAGTCCTTTTACCTGGAGATATTGAGATTTGGGCTTAAGATTTTCCTGCAGTACGTACCGAACCACAGACCTGCTGTTCTTTCTGAGCTTACAAACTGTGTTTGCTATTCCTGACTTGGAATATTACAAGGTTAACATTGATCACACTGGTTTACTAATGACCTTTCTCTTTTAATTGTTTAGATGTTTAATTTACTAAGTAGCCTTTGAAAGTTTAGATATTTTCATATATATGATATCTCCAGAGAAGTATTACAGAAGCCCCTATAGCCAATTCCTATGCCTAAAGGTAAAACATATCTTGCATGCATGCTCGGGAGAAATATTTAGATAATATAAAAGTATGTATTTTTATTGTATGAGTTATATAAAAAAAGCCTGTACTGCTCTTAGTGTAAAGGAGCCTTTCCCAGACTGTTCCTTTCCAAATATTTTACATGTCAGCTCTCATAATTCCTGGCAAGCACTCAGTAGGCCAAGCTGGCTGAAGATTATGGAAGTCTAAGACTGTTGGAGGGCTTCAGGTTGGGAGATGCTGATGTAAAAGGACAGCTGAAAATGAAAGATTTATAAGCAGTTTGCAGAAAAACCCAGGCATCTTTGTACTGACAGCTTTTTCCCCCTTACTGTGACAGGAAACACTGGAGGACATAGACAAAAATGAAGATGGTTTTGTGGATCAGGATGAATACATTGGTATGTCATGGCATGGAGAATTCTACTATTTCTTATAAATATGGTTTCTTATGGCCAGTTTGGGCAGTCTTCTCCCCAGTTAGACACTGCAGATAGATTGTTAGTGAGACTGCACATTCTGACTGTAAGTACTGGGTACCAGTCATGTTTTTTCCTTAGAATCTACCTAATATTTAGATGCAAACCTAATACTTATAAAGAATTTTCATGAATAAAAGCCCCAAATCATGCACTTAATATCTGTAGAATTTGGAAATCAGTCGAAGAGCTCGGATGTCGTTGTTAATCACACATCGACATTTGTTCAACTCAGAAGTGTGATAAACACACTTGATAGGAATGGCGGCATGAGACTGTTGACTCCCTATTATCAGTTTAGGGGAAAGATTGCTACCATCCCCTTACTTATTAGGTAACTCAGAGATAAATTTAAAAAGTATACCTTTGAAGAAGGAAGATGGGCGTTTGGGTTTTCTTTTTCATTTTTAGTTTGAAAAAAAAAATACACAAAGGAGAGCTTTTTGGTTGCAGTGGCTAGGGAAATCCAAATCTGATCCCATCTCAGCCTCTAAGCTCTTTGTATAGCCTTGGACTAGTTCCCTTGTTTAAACCTTCAGTTTCATGCTTTCAGTGAAAACAAAAAACCAAACATCTGTGCCTGAAGAGAAAAGGCTGGGCCAGTCCTACCTTTCAAGAGAGGAATGTTCTGAATGGATAATTACAAAATATGCCCTTACTGATTTCCAAGTGTTCCAAAGTGCTCCAAGTTTTCCAAAGCAACGTTGGCTCCTCTTTGGAGTGCTTAGTGCTCAGTACCAAGAAATGAAAAGGAAAGTGAATTAAGAAGTACTTCCTATGAACTGATATTTTCTAAAGCCTCACTAAAGGCCATTAAGTTCCACATAGCCTATGGTTGTTTCTCTAAATTTCCTAGTGCCTTTCTGTTCCTTCAGCTTCTTTGATTCTGATGTTATCCACAGAGACTTTGGCTGGCAGAAACAAAATGCAGTGTTGCTCTGGGCTGTTTTTCTATCCAGACTCTTGAAGGTAGCATAAAACAGAGTGGTTGGATTGTAACAGGGAATGTAGAAAAACTTGTGAGTCTTCCATCTTTTCTAGTCTTAGAAGATAGTCAGTAGGTGAGAGACAGCACCAATGTTCTCCCTTCTATTTTGTTAAAAAAAAGTTGTTTCCCATCAGACAAGAAGTAATGAGATAAAGCAACACCAAGGCTTATGAACAACTCTACAGAAGTAGCACAGGAAATACGGTTTCAGTAGCATAAGCCAAAGTAGAAATATAAATAGATAGTTTTGAAGAGGTGGCGAGAACAGAGGATAGAATCTTATCATATTTGGGAAGCAGGAAGGCTGTCCATAGGGTGTGGTGGAAAAACATCAAGATGGCAGCCATGACAGCACAATCACAGCTCCACCTGTTTTTTATGTGCAACACACATAAAATGGGTGGTGCTGTAATCACAGCTGGGGCCACTATCTTGACTATGCCCTGCCAATGTCCCTGGGAAGCTGGGTGTCTCTTCCATAAAAGACAGCCATAGATATAGACATATGAGTGATGCAGTTGTTAATTGGGGGAGAATTGGACACAGGCTTCCTTCTTCCAGCATGCACAGAATATAATATGCAATATAGGCAATTCACATTATTCATCCTTCCTCAGGTATTAAAAAGTGGGGAGAGAAGGAGTTGCCTATATTTACATGTTTTTCAGATAATGGAATACATTTTTTTAAAATGAAATAAAATAAAAAACAAACTAAAACTCCCTCTAGGGAGTTCAGGTTTAATAGCCATATACTCACTGACAACAATGTGGAAGTGCTTTTCCATTGCCTTCCTCTGGGATCTTTTTTGAAATCTCAGCCTAAATTATAGCCCTGGGATGTCCTGTTGGTCTCCCATCCAAGTACTAATCAGAAGCAGTTCTGCTTAGCTTTTATCCAGGTCAGCTAAGTGCTGCCACCTGCTGCTTCCCCTTAGTTAACCATTACCTGCAAGTCAACAAAGCTTACAAGCCCCCATAACTTTTTATTAATTTGCTGGACCATTGAATACAAATGCAAGCTATTTGTATCACATCAACAGTATGGAAATGGAAAAGGATCAGTTTTATCAATGGATAAAAGCTGTTCTTATTCACTGTAGTAGAATAACAGTTTTAATTGTGGGTGTTCCATGATGGATAGATAATGTATTAGCAAAGTAATTTTGTATTTTTAGGTCTCTTTGGCTGGGGCATTTGTTCCCATTTTGTTCTAGGATGTCTTGACAATGTTGTGAAACAATTCACAAATGATGTGGTCATGGTGATGATGGGAAAGAAGTAAGGTTCTTAAGGTGCAATTATAATTTAAAAGGTAATTCCCCATGCATTTTAGCTGTCTTCATTAGGTGAATTTATCTAGCAGTTGGAGAATTATTTCATTTTCTAATATACTGTATGGAAGAAATTGTCTCTAAACAAATATATTTAAAATTACATATTAAATGACACTTTTCCCTTATTAGCCTGGCCTCTTGCATATTATCTATGACTTAAATAAGATGAAGCCCACTTTTTTATTAGCCATAGACATGATTATAGATCAGAGCAGCAAAGAGCAAATCAGAAGAAATGTGATTTATAGAATATGTGAGATATTTAAGCATATACATGGACTGGCTGGGTTGTCCTTCAAGCAGCAATTACATTATCAACCGAAGAGCAGCTGAATGCTGCATGATGATAAAAGGAGTGTGAAGCTACCACGCAAATAATATAAGAGCATATGCAAAACAGATTCTGAGAATCATTACACTGAAGTCCCTCCCCCACCCCCACCCCCATCTCTCCTATCTGATCCTAGCAGAAGTTTTTGTAACCAAATTTAAAACAAATTTTCTCCTAGCTTAGGAGCTACATCTGCCTTCTGTAAACCACAATCAGTGTTGATGCAGATGTAGCACCAAACCATGGGAAAAGGAAAGGGTTAGGGTTAGGAAAGCTGTGTCGGGGGGTGCCATTCCATGGTTGGGGGAAGCAATTGGTCCACTTCTAATGCCTTTACCATAAGTTGTCTACATTGGTCTTGAATTCATATGATTTTCCAACCTAGCGTTATTTTCTTTATTAATGTTGGTTTCTATGAACTTACTGTCCCCAACTCATCAAGATCAGACTGACTGGTGTTTTTCTTTCTTTTGAAGGGTATTATTTTTTTCCTGTGAATAACTCTGTTTTTCAAAGCTTGGATTCAGTGGGTCTTGGAATACCGGGAGAGGGAAGGAAAGGGGAACATTAAAAAAAAAAAGCCTGAAATTATCTTTAGCCTAACAACAATCTCATTTTATTCTACATCTCTTTCATTTTAATCAATGGCCACCTGTTTATATAAGCATCTATTTATATTAGTTGGAAGTTTATTGTTAAGATATGGTTTTATTGGTTAGCTTTTCATATTGATATTTTGAGTGATTGTAATGTGTTTTGATTTTGTATACTGTGATGAATCATTGAGAAATATGGCAGTATAGAAATACAGTAAATAAATAAACATAGGATACATCTTTTCTCTAGTATCTGAGAAGCAAAATCTGAGTTTGAAATGTGCTACTAATTCTTGTTTCCAGCTGATATGTTTGCACATGAAGATGGGGGACCTGAACCAGATTGGGTGGTAACAGAACGTGAACAGTTTGCAGACTTTCGAGATCTAAACAAGGATGGGAAGATGGATAAAGAGGAGATTCGACATTGGATTCTCCCAGAAGATTATGATCATGCACAAGCTGAAGCAAGGCATCTAGTCTATGAATCAGATGTAGATAAGGTATTTGGTTTTCTCACAGAAGTCATGTTATTTATTGGTTTGATTCTATTTTGCCCAACCAAAAGTCAAGACTTAGTAATTCTGGTAAGATATTTATAAAAAATTGATCATATGAATGAGAACCTTAATGCCATTAACTACTTTGGTCACCTAATGAGAAGAGAGGACTCTTTGGAAAAGACCCTGATGCT